CGGTCAAAGCACCTAGCCTACTTTTGCATGGAAAGACACCTTATCAATTTGGATAAAGAGAAATTTTGGGAACAATGAAACAATCTTAATCAGAGAAAAAGTGTCTTTGGGTTGAGGGGAGTGACCAGTGGAACGATATACAGATCTTAAGAATTGGACACCCACGTTAATAAAGTAGAGACATTTCAATGTAGATAATTAAGATTTTCGACTATCAGGAAAAACAAAGAGGTAAAAAGAGGGACAATTGCTTTTGGCTCACAGAGGGCGCCAAGAAGGCGGAAAAGATCCTTTCTAAAGTCAAGACTAATTAGCAGCGGGCTGTTTGACAAAGTCCAGGTGAGAGAAAGCCAAAGATTGTCATTTTGCGTACGTGCAAAAAGGGAAAAATTGGATTTTGTTTTTTTTTAAACAAGAACGATGTAACCACGCCCGCAAACAGAGGGGAGAGGATGTTCGATCAATAACAATTGGTCGAATACGATCACGTGACCTGCGGAAGAAAAGGGAAAGAAATGCTCGATCAGGAACGATTGGTTGAAAAGCGGTCACCTGACATACGAGAGACTGGGGGAGATGGGTGTGCGCCGCCCCACCAGAGGTACTGCGAGGAAGTAGGGGCGAAAACAATAGCGATAATGGAGAAGACAGAATTAATGCAGCTTTTGGAATTATCGAGAAAACCCTGACGCCGACAGACCCACCCCAGTTTGTTGCGGCGTCAATATAAGCAGGACCCCAGTCGACAGAAATCAGTTGGAGTTGCAGTTGGAGTTGAGAGTTGGACCGCGGGCAGGGATAGAGCCTGAACGCGGCCATCAGGCCCGATTCACTCGCCCCTTTGCGGGCAGAAGAACCCTCAGACAAGAAGAACTTCCAGCTCAAGTAGATGAAGAAGAGGATTGCCTGAAAGCCTGAGAAGAATTGGAGCTGCAGACAAGCCGAAAGTCGATGAGAAGTTAAAGTTCATCCCCGGACGGCAGCGAGAAAAGAATCCTCAGACAAGAAATCCTTCCACCCAAGTCGAAGACATGAGTTCATCCCCGGACGGCAGCGAGAAAAGAACCCTCAGACAAGAAGAACTTCCAGCCCAAGTAGATGAAGAAGAAGATTGCCTGAAAGCCTGAGAAGAATTGGAGCTGCAGACAAGCCGAAAGTCGATGAGAAGTTAAAGTTCAGCTCCGGACGGCAGTGAGAAGAGACCACCTCAGACGACAGAGAGTTGCGGCTAAGTTGAAACAAGAAATCTTCCACCAAGTTGAAACAGGAAAACTACCAGCCCAAGCAGACGAAGAAGAAGAAATACAACTCAAGTCGGAGAGAAGAATCAACTGCGAATGATCGATAGAAATTAGCCCCAGTGTCGAACTGAACCACACTCCGACATACATACATGATTCTAGAAAGTAGGTAATTCGACATTTTTCTATTGTGTGATAGAAGCTTGGTGCCATAGTCCACAGAGCAGGTCGGGAAATGAGAACACTTTTGTTTTTATGTAACGGACTTTAAGATATAAAAGGTTGTTACCTTTTTATCAGCAATTTTGTTTGGTGTCATGAGTTTTTATTTTATTTGTGTTTTGCCACCCCCGTCGGACTCAACTTGTATCGGCCCTGATCCCTGCTGGTCCCGTCTGTCTAAGATCTAAACACAGCGTGGGTAGACAGACCGGAGATCGGTATAGTTGCTTTAGTGACCAGGTATTGGAAGCGAGTCGGGAAAGGCGAGGCTGGTGATCATCTGACCAAAGGGTTGAGCGGCACGCTTGGACCCAGGAGGAGCGACCAGGAGGAGCGACGTCACCGTTGGCGCCGTAATTAAAGGATCCGACACTGGGCCAGGTGTGTAACCGTCACATATATATCTCTGCTCCACTAAGATACTTTAGGTGCCAAAAATTTGGGCATCATAGGAATAGATGCAGGAGTTGCCCAACATGTGGAAAATGTGGCCAAAGGAATTCAGACCATACTAAGGATGAATATCAATAAAGCCATCCAGGATACTCAAGATCATGCGATTTCTGGAAAAAGGAAAGGGAAATTGTCGAAGTAAAGTATAAAAAAATCATCTCATTTTCAGAAGAAAGACAAGTAGTAGTAAGTTACATGAAGAGCCATTCCTATGTAAAAATAACGGAAAATAAGACTACAAATAATTCCGGTCAGCCTGACAAATACAGAGCCCTCATTGAGAAGCTCATACACTTGGAACCAAATGAGTGACCCATATTTCAAACTTACCTAAAAAGTCCAAGGAAATGGTGCAGACTGAACCGCAAAAGAAGTACAATGAAAGAACTGAAATAATAAATAAAGGAAAAACAAATAGCAAAACGACAACTCAGACACAAACCACTCCTACCAAAAATATCAAATCACCTACTAAACAAAGGACACTGCAATCTCGTATCTATCCACCAAAATCCAGGAAAGACAGACTGAAAAGCTTATCTCCCAAAAGAACAGAATCTGCCAAACAAAAGCCGGAAATTCCCAATGACCAAATTCCTATTTGACAAATGAGAAAAGATGAAGTTGAAAAGCCAGAGCCCTCAAACGACTAAAACCTCCAAAACGGAAATCTAGGAAAACGGAAAACTAAACCACATCAGCTAAAGGCTGAAAACGTTTAAACGACCATGCATAAGATAATTCAATGGAACTGCCGTGGAATAAAGGCAAATATCATCATCATCATCTTGCGGCCTCAGCCGAGATTGAACTCACTACACCTCTCCAGTATTCCCTATCTGTCATAGCACCTAAAAGATCTTCCTTAGGGATCAATGTGTCACGTTTTATCCTATCTGGAAAGGTTAACTTGCGTGATCGATTGTCAGATGATGGGTGCCTCCAGAGTACAAATGATGACACAAGTTCATCTGCGGCACATGCACAATGCCCGCCGAACTGGACACGTCTCTTACAAACTAAAGTTGATACTCTTGGCAAGTCACCATATATCATTTCTAGAGTTGGGTGGTTTCGCCATGAGAAATTAAGCACTCTTCTTAAAAGACGTGTATAACATCCATCTAAACGACGTTGTTGTTTTGCTGAGAGAGTGTAGTTCATAATCTTGTCAATAGCTGAATTCTTGAAGGCAAATATAAATATAACTGCTTCTGTTAATAAAAGACTTGCCAAGGCAGTTGTCTGCCTTCAGGAAACATTCCTTAAGCAAGGTGATAAAATGAATATAAAAGAATACCAATAATACAACCATACATATAACACTGAGCTTCGTTCATCTGGCAGTACATCTGTCCTAGTTAAGAATGATGTACACCAAAGTAAAATAAAATTGACAACTATTTTACATGCAACTGATAAAGTGACCCTAAATAGGCCAATAAAGATTTGCTTGGTATATATCCCACCTAATCAATGAGTAAATGAAGCTGAAATTCATGAAATTATAAGGCAACTCCCTGTACCCTTTACAATACTAAGGGACTTTTTAACTGTCACCGAACCATATGGGGCTGTAAAGACACAAGCCAAAATGGAAGGACTTTAGAAACAATTATAAACAACAATTATTTATGTATTTATAATGATAAAACTCTGACTTACATCCATTTACTGGATTTAGATTTATCTATATGTGATCCATCAATCTATATGGATTTCTCTTGGGATGTTCTGGTGGACACATGTGGTAGTGATCACTTGCCAATTGTTCTGCTGAATTCAGAACAAAATGATAAAAATCATCTGTGTTGGAAATTTTCTAATTTTTTCGGACTCACTATCCATCCTATTGGCTTTGAAGGGAAAAAATCCAACAACTCACTTATGAAAATATTATTACTATTAACAAGGATAAATACATCAAACTATACTGGTTTCCTTGCCACATTGAAGTTAAAGGTAATAATGAAGCAGATCTAGCAGCCAAGTCGGCTTTAAATGTGAATGTGGATACAAGGATCAAAATCCAATACACAGATTTTAATGAGGTTATTAATAAATACATTCAAATGGAATGGCAACAGTACTGGGACAATAACCCACTCAATAAACTCTTCAGAATCCAGACCAAACTGGGAGAATGGATGTCAGATTCCAGAAAATCTTGTAAGGAAGAAGTGGTACTGGCTTGCATATGCATTGGCCATATGAGAATAACCCACTCATACTTACTAAACAAAAAAGATCAACCAGTATGCCAAACATATAAAACAGCATATACTATTAAACATATATTAACCAAGTGCTCAGATCTTGCACTCTCAAGAAAAAAATATTATAATATAAACAATATATATGAGCTGTTCAAGAAAGTAAAAATGGATGATGTAATATCATTTCTCAAAACAGTAGGACTCTACCAAAAATTATACCATCCTGGGCATGACAATAAACTACATCTGCATCCTGGGTAAGATAATAAATTACATCCAACAGCAAAGCCTCTGATCAGGAGGTTATGATGAGTGTGTAACCACCTCTTAATTTCTGGTGTTCCCAGGTCCACTCTGACTTGGAGTGGTAGCACTTGTTAGGGCCCCAGACATGGGCAAATTGTTAACCCTCAAAATAGGGTCAAAACACTATGAAAGTGTAAAAATAGGTTTTAATAGTAGAAATACTTTGTAAAAAATTATTTTCAGCAATAAATTTTTTAAGAAAAGTTATTACCACCAATACATCATTACCAACTATATATTTTTGAAAAAAGAATATTACCAGCTATATATTTTTGAAAAAATATTATCAGTGATACATTTTTGAAGAAAAAATATTGACCAGAAATAGATTTTTGAAGGAAAGATATTACTAGAAATAGATTTTTGAAGGAAAAAAATATTACCAGCAATACATTGTTGAAAAAAAATAATACCAGCAATAAAAATCTTGTTGGCATTAAATAACCCATTGAGGTTGATATGCCGTAAAACAAACTAAACCATTGTCAACTCTGACTGAAATGCATTAAATAAGAAATTACACATAAGGACTAATTTGTTTTGGTTGTTGAATTTATTTTATTTAAAGAATGTATGAAACAGCACTTAAAAGAACAAATACAAAAAGTAAAACATTTGCCAATGAGTTCCTCTGGTGAAAAGAAATGGCGGAAGATTTGGAAACTGAGTTTATGCTTCTCTTGATTCGTGTGGACACTGACCTTGAGTCTATTGACAAAATGGCTGCTCTTTGAGTTGTTAGATATAGGGTCTTCCTTAATTCCAGTGGCATAACTTTCCTTACTCTAAATAGCTTTATTCCTAATTGAAACTTCCCCTGTTCCATCAATGTGATTGACATGTGGTTATTATTGTAAGTAAGTGTAAAACTGTTTCCAAGGTAGTCCAGGTTGTTCAGGGTCACTTGGGTGCTGTTCAAGGGAAGAACTGGGTCAAATTCAAGCTGATTGCTATGAATTCGGAACCCAGCATAGCCAAACAGAAGACCCTGTAAGAATCCTCCCATTCCAGTCAAAAAATTCACAGCTCCGGAACCATCACTGTATTCAGACCACATCTGAAAAAGAAAAAAAAAGGTAGAAATAAGTTTATTTGTCTGAATTTCTGGAATGATTATTTACATACAGATTAAGATTTCCATATTTGTTGTTACTATTGCAATGTCTGAGCCATTAAATCCTCTGTGTGTCTGTCAATTCAGGTAACCATCAGGGAATTTTGAACTGAAACCTTTATTTAATCTGTCAGAGTAGATTGTTCTTGTTCCACTGCCCATGTATAGGGATATTTCATTTTTTTCTTATTTATATATTACTTGCCCTGTTTCCACTAAGACGCTAACCTAATGGAGAAGCATTTTGGTTTATGAATTTGGCAACATAGTAATTGTGAATTCAATCCCTGGGCTGGATAGTGCAGATTTAGACTCAGGGAAAGCAATATCTGAGCATTAGTAAATTAGAACAAGACGGGATGGCCTTTTTCAGGTGTATAAGGATAGCAAGGTAAGTGCATTTATTATTTACAGGTCATGCAAACCTAAGTTGGTTAATGACTTACTTACCTTGAATGGCTGGAGAACGTTTTTAAAATTCTTAGCAAAATAATGGTTTGCTATTTTTAGTTCTTTCATTTCTAACCAACCGATGGCAAACATTGCCCAGGTCATAGCAGGACCATTATGGTCAGATACCTGCAGGTAAAAAAAAAAAAAAAAAATGAATAGAAAATTAAAATAATGTTGTAGATATCTTTTTATTCACCATTTTAGGGTTTTAAAGTGTTTTCCTGTTGAGTTGTTTTTTCCCCCCCATGAGGACTTTCAAATGTTGCTACATTCATTTTCTGGGATTTAGTTTTTGTGTGTTTGTTTAGCTGTTCTTGGTTAAATCCAGCATTTCCAGATCTGAAGGAACCAATTTCAACATCATTTATAACGGTCAAACTGAATTTTTACATGTATTTTAACTTTTTTTAACAATTAAACAAAAACAGTTGCTTAAACACAAAAAATAAAAATGAACATTGGTAAATTTACTGATAATATAAAAAAAAAACCCTAATAGCTTAGGCAATAGGTTAAACAACTAATAAGTTAAGCAGGGATACTCCAGATTATTTTGAGAAGAATTTACGGGCAAAATATTCAGCTTTATCAGCGGAGGATGATAACATCTCAAATCGATTGAAAAGGTGGGGAATAAAGATCTTGCATTAGTTAGTATCATGTTACAGAGATGCCAGTAGTCAGAGTGCCTCATTCTCTCAGCAAACAGGGGTTTAAATTCTTCGAAGACTCGCTTACATTTGTTACGAACAGTAGCAAATAGGTACCATTTATGACGAGAGCTGTCATGTTGATATAGCCGGAAATAGTGGTCCCTGTGTGCTATGGCGGTTGGGCATGCTGGTGTGAACCATGGAGAGGATTGCGGTTTCACCTGATATTTCCAAGAAGCGATGAAAACCTCTATACTGGCTTTGACCCAAAAAGAAACCTCAGTTGTGCAATTTTCAATTGGAATGTTGAAGATATCAGTTCACGGGGTGTCATTAAGAAAATCCTGGAATGAGTCTCAATCAGCGTGCTGGTAACGGAAAGAGGTCTTATGGATATGGAGATTCCTGTTTAATGGATGGTCTGAAGGACATATCAATAGCTACCACAGAGTGGTCCGTTATGAAGAGGGCTGTATTGTGAAGCTCGGTAAAAAACAAGGGGAGGAGGTCAGAAATAGATCCAATTGAGAATCATATTGCTCGGTTTGGCTAGGGAAACGAATAGGAAAGTTCTCGATTTGAGTAAGGGATTGGGCAATAGAAAAAATTAATGTCTGAATACCGGCAACATCAGTACCTTTAGAATGTTTCAGCCACGTATCATGGTGAGCATTAAAATCACCGAAGATAAAGATGTTCGTAGATAGATGGAGAGAAAGTGTTTTTCTATACTGTCAGCCATTATACCTAATATACTCTTGGGAAGAGGGGAAACAATAAAGGAAAAAAGAGTTAGATAAAAGAGTTTAGTAGTGAAAGACGGAAGCACATGAAAGAATAGTCAGCAGCCTCGAGAGACAATTCCTTGGTCATCGGAAGATTATCCCGGATGTAAACACCAAAGCCAAGCATGTGAATGCTAGAATCTTTTCGGCAAAGGGGAAGATACCTTGGAACCAAGAATTCATTGGTAGCAATGGAAGAATTCAATTTGGTTTCACAGAGGGCAAAGATATCTGGCGTCTTTTCCAAGAGAAAAAATTCTACGCTGCAGAAATTAGAACGGGTACCAGGAATATTGGAGAAAGAAAGCTTGAGGGGTGGGGTAGTTTCCTTCTTTTTTTTTGCGATTTTCATGAGATATGTTTTGAGGGTGTCAGGTGTGAAGAAATATTTTCGGAGTTTGAAATTCTTAATGCCCAAATACGTAGACTTAAACCTGTTTCTGACAATAAAGTTAAGGACTTCAAGGCCAGACTTAATGACATTGCCCATTGTTATTCCAAAACACCTATATCATAATTTGAATTCAAATGGCGCAGAGAACACTACTCGGTAATTAAATCACTGCGTCAGAATAAATCATTAGTAATCACTAGACCTGACAAAGGAGTTGTACTCAATCAATGTGATTACGTTGATAAAATGATGACAATCTTAAATGATTCATCAAAATTTATCAAATTAGGTCCTGTGGAGAGTTTTGATTCAACAGTGACAGTAGAAAATAAATTTCAGAGAAAATTAGTCAAATGGGTAAAAAGTGGTGTCCTACCTTCTGATATAGCTAGCGACATTAGACCATCGGGTTCAATTCGTTCCCGTTTATACGGCAGGTATCCCATTAAGACCAATTCTGTCTATGGTGGGGTCAGCTGAACAGAAGGTTGCCAAATGTATTGAGACACTATTACAACCTGTACTAGAATATTACACTTGTCATTGCATAAAAGACTCTTTTTCTTTTGCAAGAGATATTCAAAACTGTAATTCGACTAATAAATTATATATATATATATATATATATATATATATATATATATATATATATATATATATACAATTTAATGAAGCAAATTAAAGTGGCAGGGTGGGGGTGTGAACTAAACAGTTTGATAGTTAATAGCAACGTAGAGAACAATATACATGGAATCAGATACAAATATAACAAAAATATAAAAAAATAAATAAGTATAAAATTCAAAATCAAATAAATAGAAGAATAATTAACACAGTATCTTACTAGCACTGCATCATTTCAAACTCTGAAAAATTAACTTTTCCTTTTTGGGATGGAACAGGCAGGTTGAAATTGGTGAAAATTTACCTGATTCATGTAAAATCTTTTCGGCTTTTATTTTAAGTCATCCACAAACGAATGCCAATTTCCAAATATTATATATATATATATATATATATATATATATATATATATATATATATATATATATTTGTGTGTGTGTGTGTGTGTAAACTACATATAAATACGGCAAAATTGAGAAATAGCAGCAGAGAAGACAACAAGCTCTGAAGAGTGAATATGTTATCTTGAAATGCTCACCAAACTTCTCCAGATTAATTCTATCTCTCTTTCTCTCTCTCTCTCTCTCTCTCTCTCTATATATATATATATATATATATATATATATATATATATAATTATTTATTTAAAAATATGATTCCAACACCCTACATAAGAGGTCTCATGTTTCAAAACAAGAGCCGAAAACTTCAATATAATTATTTGGATTAAATTGAATTAAAGTAAGCTATGTTCCATCTTCAAGCGAAAATTTTTTGGGAATAACTTATTTCTGAAATTTACGTGTTTTAATAGCATATTCATTATTGAAATCAAAATTTCCATGGTAACAGCCAGAGCGATTGTTTAAATAGGAAGGGGTGTTGGGTGTTAATAATTTGTATCAGTATAGAATTCATAGATGTCAAGTCAGGGTAAGGTAGGGGTGTCTAAATTTAAAACGGAAGATGTTTTCGCCCAGTCTGGTTTACGTGTCTATGGAGATTTTTTTTTTTAATTTTTTTTTCTTTCCGAAAGGGTTTTGTGTATATAAAAAAACTGCCGTAACATTTATTTTTTGACGACTTCTTGTTTTGAAACATGAGACCTCTTATGTAGCGTGTTGGAATCATATTTTTAAATAAATAATTATATTTATGCTCTACTTTTGTATCGAGCACTATTTTTTTAAAAAATAATAACAAAAATACTAAAGAACTTTGGATTATTTACCTAACGAGTTCTTTCCTATTTTCTATATATTTTCACACACACACACATATATATATTAATTTAATGAAGCAAATTAAAATGACCAGGGGCAAGGGGAGCGAACTAAACAGTTTGATAGTTAATAGCAATGTAGAGAATATATATATATATATATATATATATATATATATATATAATCTATATATTAGAGTAAGTAGCCATCCTTTGGATTTAATAATTAAAAATTCATATCTCTATTTACATTATTCGGACTATTGTCCTCATCTTTGTCGCCATATTTATTACAACGTTTCAGTCGTTTAGGTGGTTTGAATGTTGAACTGAACCCTTTATTTCGCTCACTGGGGTAGACTGTTCTAGTTCCCCAAGGACACATGGCAAAGTGGATAAAGGAGTTAAATACAGTGACAGGACCCAAAGAGTGTGAGTTCAATACCTGCTTAAGGCGGTGGAGAACTTGGTGAGGGGGGATTAACACGAGATAACTGATAACTGACATCCATTAGACATGGCACGTGGAACTAGAACAGTCTACCCCAGTAAGCGAAATAAAGGGTTCAGTTCGACATTCCAACCACCTACCCCCCACTATAATCCCTATTAAGCTGATAAAACTATTTAAGCCATTGGTGCATAGCATCCAATATTTTAGAGAGGGGCTTACCTAAAATTTAAGATCCACCAACCCTAGGATTACCATTAGCCAGCAAGGTAGATTAGGTAAAAAGGTAAATTTAAGGAAACTTCATGTAGTAATGGGTTAATTATTATTATTGAATATATGATGAAAACCTTCAGGAGAGAAAGTTCCACTGGCTTGAAGTTGGATTAGTTTTGAAAAAGGCGCACAGCCTTCAGCTTCAGGCCTTTTTTTTGAAATTCAAAGTGTAGCTCCAACAATTTTGCCTATATATATATATATATATATATATATATATATATATAACAAATGCTTAGAGGTACAAAATTTTATATATAGTTTTAAAAACAAGGAATGTATTGATTTTAATTTTCAAAGTCTCTAAGGCCCTTTCAACCAACATCTCATCAGGAGACAATCGTTGGATAATTAATCAACGAAAAGAATATTAACGACAATGAAGAGCAAAAAAAAAAAGTGTGTGTGTGTGTGTGGGGGCACACTAAAATAACAAAAAAGTGTATATACTTGTAACGAGGGGAGTTTAATTGCCAGTGTGCTGCTGGTTATGTGGGGCGTACAACCTTGCATTTGGAAACTAGAATCAATCAGCATGTACCTTCCAAAATACGACTTGGTGAGATAGATAAAATATGCTATCCCCCCCATAAATATGGAATCGGCTATTGCTCAACACTTAATTGAGAATATAGCCTGCGCCAAGTCGTATAAAAAAATGGTTTAAAATTATTCATACAGCCGATTCCAACAAACATTTGAAGATTTTGGAATCGGTCTACATAGGATTAAGGAAACCTTCTCTCTGCCGGCAGAAAGAATTTGTAAAGTCCCTTAATCTGTTGGGGGATATTTTATTTTAACTGCCCCTCGCTAATTTATTTACACGTTATTTCCCGTCCCCTCGTTACAAGTATATACACTTGTTTGTTATATTAGTGTGTTTCCCCCTCTTTTTTTTCTCTTCATTGTCGTTAATATTCTTTTCGTTGATTAATTATCCAACGATTGTCTCCTGATGAGATGTTGGTTGAAAGGGCCTTAGAGACTTTGAAAATTAAAATCAATACATTCCTTGTTTTTAAAACTATATATATATATATATATATATATATATATATATATATATATATATATATATTGGTGAATACCTGAAAATACTTACCAGTCCATATCTAGTCAGGTCATTTCGTCTGACTGTTTCTGACATTTCCATCATGAGGGGGAATCCAAGCAATATAACATCAGCCTGTTTTACTGTAGTACCTGAAAAAAAATGTTATATTAATAGTAATTTTAAGTGACATCATAAGCGGGCTCAAATGGAATATAAATGTCGGCATGACAAGGCTGGAATATTTAAACGTTGGGAACTGTGCAAAGAATTTGGGTGAGGCCATGTAAATAAATAGTATCAGCACAAACTAGAGGCTGTTATAGAAAACAAGATGAATATTATGGCATTTTACAGTTGAAACTGATTACCCTCCACACCGCCATTAAAGTGAAAAGGACTGAATTGGTAGCTGTAAACATGTAGAAGAGAATTGGACAGATAGTCGAGATAATCATACCAGCAGATGAAAGGTAGAAAACTGGGTAAAAATCTGAGAAATATGAATGTTATGTTAATGCTCACCATAGAACACATAGAATGAAGCCCCCCAAAGTATTGACTACTATTTACAGGAGACACATTGTAGAAATCAAGATGGCTACCATTTACAGGAGACACGTTGTAGAATTCAAGATGGCTACCTTTTACAGGAGACACATTGTAGAATTCAAGATGGCTACCTTTTACAGGAGACACATTGTAGAATTCAAGATGGCTACCATCTACAGGAGACACATTGTAGAATTCAAGATGGCTACTGTTTACAGGAGACAGAGTGAGGAATTCAAGATGGATACTATTTACAGGCGACACATTGTAGAAATCAAGATGGCTACCATTTACAGGACACATACAGTAGAATGCAAGAGGACAACCAGTTATCGCCCACTTACTAAATAAGTTTCTTTTTTTAATGAAAGAATAGAATGAAATTTCTTATGGCAGGTTGTTAAAGCGAGAAGAAAGGACTAAACATCAACTGCAAGAAGACAGAATACATGGTTATTAGCAAAAGGAAAAGCTCAACATAAAAATTACAAATTGGAGATACCAAAATCAAACAAATGCAAAGATTTAAATATCTGAAAAGTATTTTAACAGAGGACGGAAAGTGCAACAGTGAAATCCAAAAGCGTATGAGGATAGTCAAAGATGCCTTCCAAAAACTAAGCAGAGTATTAAGAAACAGAAAAAAATCATTAGACACAAAGAAAAGCGTAGTGAACTGTTACATGATATCAGTCCTACTACATGGCAGTGAATGCTGCTCAAAGATGAAGGAAAGACTTCATCACAGCTGAAGAATAGACTTGAAGCAACAGAAATGTGGTTATACAGAAGGATGCTGAGGATACCATAGACTGAACATGTCAACATTGACATAGTTTTAAAGAAAATGGAAACAAAAAGGAAACTTATACTTGGGGCTTGTCTGGTCCTGTTCCTCAGTTGGTCGTTGGAGACGACTTCCGGTCATCTGATATTGAGGACGTTTCTGGGACATCGGTTGGTAAATGTCTGAAATTTGTGGGTGTTGGTCTTGGTTACACGCCAGTTTTCTGAGTCGTAATGGCCACTATATAATTAACTGTCCCTACCTGAAAACATCTACACTTCTTACCTCTATTAAACTCTGAAATTTTATTCAGTAATTTTTTTTTTTAAATTTTAATTTAATTTAATTTCTTATTTTCATTTTCTTTTCTTTTTTTTTCAATAGAAGTAAATAGGTTTACCTATCGCCAGGTTCACACGCTCCACAGTATTTTGAACAGGAGTAGAGGTTTATCCATTATTGCCTGTTTAGGATTGGGTTTCAGCTCATTCTCCTAAAGTCTTCTCATTCATTTTCGAACATAAACTTTTGGCGTTATCACCTTGCTTGGGGGTGAAATGATTTAAAAAAAAAAGTATTCAAAATTTAATGCCTATGAAAGAACTGCTATTGTCCAGATTCCTGTTTTGGTCTGTGAAGACATTAATGTTGTGGAGTGATTTCACAGTGGAGGCTTGTATTTGTACTAAGTCGGTCCTAAAATAGGTTCGACGTACAAAACGTTAGGAACTTGATATAATAGGTATAACGCAGAGTAATCTAGTTGTGGTCGCTGATACTTTAGTATTCGACTAACTGTCGTCCGACTGACTCCCACGTTACTCTTACTACTCCTACTTATTCTAGGTGGGAGAGACTATTAACTATAGAATAGGTGTGTTCCACTATAACAATTAAGAAAGGTATTGGAGAAATGAAATTTTCTGTCACTCAATTTCCTGCAATAAGTAATCTTGACCTTCATCCCATTATGGTGGGATGTAACAGATTATGAGTTTCCCATGAGGGCAAAAACAAAAAAGCAGTCCCGGAAACCCGCAGACGTTAGAATATTCCAACCCCTCTGGTTAAGTGAAACAGAGAGGCATTTCTGTCGGAACCAAACTTGCCTTGTGTTCTGATCGAAGATGAGTAAAGGTGCAATGTGAACCTTTAGCAATAACCGATAGACATATTGTGTGAACATAATTTGACGAGAAATAGTACGGCCACAAGTGAGGATTGATTGAAAATGACCTAGTCAAGATCACGTGGCTTTTAAACATCCAAACAGACAATAGCCTTGATGTCACCAAAATGGACATCACCTCCGTTCAAAAATTCATTTATTTTGTTTGGCATATTAACCTCAATGGGTTATTTAATGCTGACAAGATTTTTAGGATAGGTTCGTATGAAATGAATAAGTATTTGTAAGAAATCCATTTGTAGACCAGGTTTCATTGACGTCTTTTTATAAAGAGGGTTTTTGTCGATAATCATATATATTACTGGTAATTTTTTTTTCAAAAATTTATTGGTATTTTACCATAAAAATTTGTTTATACTTTCATAGTGTTTTGACTCCAGTTTGTGAATTAATTATTTGCTCATATCTGAGACCCTAACAGGTGCTAACACCCCGGGCCAGGGTAGACCTGGGAACTACAAGAGGTGATTCTCCGCTCATCAAAACCTCCCAATCAGAAGCCTTGCTGTCAGATGTAGTTTATCGTCATACCCAGGACGATCCGTTGAAAAAAAAAAAAAAAAGCCAAAAATATAGTGTAAAGGTTAAATAAGCTGACAAGCTTGAGAACACCAACCTTCGAATTGGACTTGCCATAATGGTGGGCGTTTAGGCTACTATTGTCCCAATTATTACTGGAGTGCTGGGGTCTATATCTACACTAGGAGAATTGGAATAAAGCCTAGTATCTAATTGCTCCAGAAGTTTGTATTGGGTGTCGCTGTAAATAATCTGTTAATGGTGCTGTCTAAGGTCGTACGACTTAATGGAGGACACGCATAGTGTAAAATCTTCGTTTGAAAACAAAAATTATGTGGAAAAAGAGAACAGAAAATAATAATAATAATAATAATAATAATAATAATAATAACCGACACCAAGAAGGGCTTTATCTATGTAAAATATGTGTGTTTTTTCTGTTTTTTGTTTTTGTTTTGTTTTATTTTGTTTTTTAAATTACTCAGTGGAAATGTCTTGATGCCATTTCTAACCTTAGGTCTCTGGTTGGGACCCGGAAAGAAATGAGTACACACCAGAAATCAAAGGAAATAAAATAATAATAATAATAATAATAATAATAATAATAATAAATTGTTCTCACGAGTACAGCCCACAGCTTACGAAGGACTTTATCTATGTAAAATATGTGTGTTTTTAATTGTTCAGTCGAAAATATGATGATGCCATTTCTGACCTTGGGTCGCTGGTCAGGACCCGGAAAGAAATGAGTACGCACCAGAAATCAAAGGAAATAATAATAATAATAATAATAATAATAATAATAATAAATTGTTCTCACGTGTACAGCCCACAGTTTACGAAAGGCTTTATCTATGTAAAATATGTGTTGTCCTTTTTTTTTTTTTTTGATTGCTCAGTCGAAAATGTCATGATGCCATTTCTGACCTTAGGTCTCTGGTCGGGACCCGGAAAGAAATGAGTATACACCAGAAATCAAAGAAAAGAAAAGAATAATAACAATAGAAGACATTGAAAACAAGAAAAATTGTCACTGAATTTTGCTGTTTCATCAGATCACTGAATAAAGTTGAAAAAGAGTGAAAAACTAGAAAAATATTTTAACTTTACTAAAGAACTAAAAGTAAATTTTATAATATGAAGGTAATAATTGTGACCATCGTTATGGGCATGCTTTGTCCGACCCTGAACATCGGAAAAGTGAAATGCAAAAAAATTTAAAACTATCCAAATTGCAGTATTGATATACTAACGAAAATCCTGGAATATAGAAGTAACTTGTTATCACTTTATCTCCAGTAAACAGAACATTACGAAATACTGTGGAATTTGAAAACTCAATGAATAATAATAATAATAATAATAAATGCTCTGATACTAGGTATGGCTCTCGTGGCTTCTAATCTTAATTAATTGGAGGTGCTAACATGTACATGAAGTGTCTTGGTGAATTAAGATGGACTAGAGAAAATATCCCGTTCAATAACAGACTTTCTTATCAGTTGCTTGACCTTAACCATTTGGGCATCTTTCCTAATATCTGACACATTGTGCATCTCTGTTCATGAGCGGGAGTAGTGAGAGAAAATTATAGCCAAGTGTCGAAAGGGACTTTTTTTTAAGTCTAAAGAATTTGTCACTCAAGGCTATTTGGGAGTCACATCTGGAACAGCCCCAACCGGAGACTAAGCTGATTGGCTTACCCAACCTAAAGGTATTTCTACCTGGACCCCACCTAGAAGGCTATGTCACTGGAACACACAGTGTTACAAGGAGTGAAAGAGAATGAGAAGATTGAAAATGTAGAAGATTGAGGAAAGGCAAAAAAAAAAAAAAAAAAAAAGAAGGAACGGGGTTCAATAAGACAGAAGATGGTGATTGACATTATATTTAAATTTTTGAAGATTTTAGTTATCAGGCAAGCAAGAAACTGGAAGGGGTATCCACAGGTGAGAAATGCGAGAAAAACTGCTAGAGTAGAAGTGGCAGCTGTATCTAGCTAGTTGAACAGTAAAACTGTGAGACCTAATTGCCAATCTAGTAGCATGCTTGAATTCATGTAGACAGCGCACCAGGAAAAAAGCACATCCGAACAGTTGCCATGA